GGGGGGGGGGGGGCAGGAGGACTGCTATGGAGCTGCAGGTACAGGGCAGGTGGAGATCCCAGGGGATAGCTGCCAAACTCTAATGGCAGAGGAGAACTCTGCTAACTCAGAATGTTCTCAGCTGCTGAGAGTCGCTGAGGTCCCCTGCTCACGACTCTCACAGCCAGCACACTAGGACAAGGTGTCAAAGACTCCCTGGTGCTCAACACAGCCCTGTGGGGGAGCACAGGCTAAAGCTGCAGAACAGGTCTGTACCCCAACTCCATGCTTTCCTGTGGCACCCCGAGCAAATAACTTCTCTCCCACACCAAATGACAAGTCTCCCCCAAAGGGCTGCCATGGAGATTAGCAGGATGATGCACAGTGACACCAGGCCCTGTGCCTGGAACCCAGCTGGTGCACCACAGGCAGCTGCTGATGAGTTCGGGCCTCTGAACACATTAAACACCATCGGTGCATGGTGGACCAAGGACGGGCCCTGCAGCCACACAGGGAGATGGCCCACAGGTTGAGGACCTCACGGGTACCATTAGAGAAAAAGTTTTTCCTAAACTGTCCAGCCTATTAAAGACACTGCCTAGAAAGCAGGCTCTGGGAAATGCTTGTTTTGCTCGTGGACACCCTCAACGGGGCCATCTGACCTCCCATAATGAGATGAGTGACACATAGGTAAGTGCCAGGAGTGAGTCCCCCACATCCTGAAATATGGTTCAGGCTGAAAGCTACAGAAAAAGAAGAGAAACTAGCATCCAAGCTTCCTGGCAGCTCCTGCTGATGAGGGGAGGCCCGAAAGGGCCTGGCCTGCTGTCCACACACTGCCCCACAGGAAGAAACAACCCACAGCTCTCCCTCGGATGTAAACATGACAGCAGCTGCCGGACTCTGATGGGTACTAGCCACTGGAGGTTGTCATCAGAGAAGACCCAGTCCCCATCCTCAGACAGAGGACGACAGAAGCAGTGTATCCAGGGGGGTCTTCTACAGCCACCCGGACAGGAAAGTCTTCCCCCAAGAAGACCGGGCTTTAAAGAACAAAGAGTTGGAGGAAGAGTTACAGGGAAAGAGCACTCTAGGTGGAGGGAATGGCACACACAAAGGCCCTGAGGTTCCTTAATGGAGGGCTCCATCCAAGTGAAGGAGAGATCCAAGGGGAGGCTACAGAGAAAGGGAGGAGTTCCAAGTCACTGAAACTATAAGTGGAGAAATGATACAGACTTGGGCTTTAGAGATCCCTCTAGCTACTGAATGGAAGATGAGTTGGAAGGAGGGCAGGGGGAGCTGTCACAGGATCCAGGCAAGGGACAATAGGCCCGAGCCAAGGTGGGGGAAGGGAGACACTGTGTAACTTACTCTAGGTCATTTCATCAAAGGCTGCATGACTGACAATTCGTACAGCTGCTACCTAGACTCTAGAAAGGAATGGGTTAGGCCAGCAGTGCCCACTGTCATAGCTTACATGGTTTCCCAGTTGGGCAAGATCTCATTATTCCAAGTAAGGGCCGCGTTTCCAATGCTTTCTTCTAGTCGGCATCGTTCTTCCAGCTGCTTTTTCCTCCGCTGGGCTTCCTTCAGCTCTGGAAATCACAATCAAAACAAGAAAACATCTGGCAGCTGGTATCCACCATTTTCAAGCGAGGTGATTTTTCTCAAGAGTCATGCAGCAAACTTCCAGAATGACACTGAAAAGGGGGAAGCAAGACCCCTCCCGGGACGCGTTTCCACTGTGTGGAGTTCAGAACGCTCAGGTGTTACCATCGTTTAGTAAGCTTTTAAAGTATAGCACATATACAGAAAAGTATGCAAACAAAACACGATCAATTATCACAAAATAGACTCCTCCATGAAACGACCACCTCAATCAAAAGACAGAATGTCATAGACAGAAGCGCTCATGTGTCCTCTGCCCAGCACAACCTGTCACCTCACCTCTCACAGCCTGAGCAGAACTCCTAGTGCACAACAGCCACTCTGAGAAACACCATGCACTTCATTTACATATACTTTTTAGTATTTTTTATTGTGGTAAAATACACAAAACATAAAATTTATCATTTTAACCACTGTAAGTATACAATTAGCAGCATTAACATTCACATCATTACTCAACCATCACCAACATCAACTCCAGAATGTTCTCATCTTCCTGACCTGAAACTCAGCACCAGTTAAACTCTAACTTCCTGTTCCCTCCTCCCCCAACCCCAGGCAACCACCATTCTACCTTCCGTCTATGATTCTGCCTGCTCTGAGGATCCTGAGTAAGTGAAATCAGTGTTTATGTCTCGTGACTGGCTTATTTCACTGAGCCTGACATCCTCAAGGTTCACCCATGTTGAGGCACGTTGCAGAATTTCCTTACTTTTAAGGCTAAGTAATATTCCAGTGTATGTAGAGACCACATATGTTTATCACATATAGTTTTCAAACATCCTAGAATCATAGGATGTGCGAGGGATTTTATCAAAGCCCATCACATCTTGTAAATAAGGAAAACTGAGCCCAGAGAGGGAGAGACCTGCCCATCACTACTGGCTGAGGCTTCCTCCAGTCCAGCACTCTTACCCAGGACAGTCTCTTTTCTGGTGTAAATTCAAAGTGGCATTACCTTGAGTAAAGCTACCAGGAATGGCATGAGTGGAAGCATGTCATTTTTGGTGGGAAATTATAAATTTTAAAATACTACAGCATTCACCACAGTTTGGGTTCTAGGGCTCCAGGCAGACAGGGAGCCCTGTGCTGCACACAGCCAGCATGCGGGGAGCTCCATTACCTCGTTTTTTTGCCTGAACCACCATTTCTTCATACTGCTGTCTGTGTTTCTGAGCTTCTTCAGCTGGCTTCGCCGGGAGATTTCTTGATAGAAAAGAAATGATTTCTCACCATTATAAGTATCAAATAAAATTCTTTGAGAATCAAAACTCAAAGCACTACTTACTAAAAAAAATGAAAAGTTCAGAGAGCAAAAACTAAATATGTTAAGATTACAAAGACATGGCTCTTTTATAAACTAAAAGCATTTTCTTACAAAAGTAAAATAAGCTCATTGTATGAAATCTGAAGTATAAAGATTAGCAGAAAGAAGTGAAAATAAGAATTACCTATAATTCCAAGAGATAAAGACTTAATCTTTTGATTTGACCGCAATACAGTAATAACTGTGAACAGTTGTCAGTGAAGGAGAGGCCCTAACGGCATATCGCGCAAACACATATGAACATATTTCCTTCCTGGCTGGTGTGTCAGTGTGCAAGTGTCACATTAGCTATGTGGCTCATTGGCATGGTTTTTATATACAAACGTACACCATAGTTCTAGGCATCTGAACTTGGTGTATACCTGTTTTAAAAATAAAATGCACACTCTTCCAGAAATGTGCAGTCCATCAAACAGATGGCCATCAGAGGAGGGGCTTAGTAGGATCACCTATTCCTAAGGATCCCAGATAAGCCAGTATTGGTCCAGGCACTGCTCTGCAGTACTGGGATGCCTCCAAAACACCCACTTTAAGTACACTTCTGGTGTTTCCTTGCAGTTACAAGCCACTCTATAATTTATAATAGCTGCTTACGTATTTTAAAATGTTAAATTAAAATGAAAAATCACCTGACTGGAAAATCCTGGGCAAAACTTCCATGTTAAAGGACAGTTTTCCAAATTAGTCATTTACGACCCTTAGAGCACGCTGACTAACAGAATGAATGAAGAGGAACTCAGCATTTTTAATGAGTGCTACGGCTCACTCTCCTTCCCTCTGTGTCCCTAGTTCCTATCTAATGAAAAGGTAACTGATTAGCAAGTTGCACTTATGCACTAAAGCAAACACCCTACAGACTCTTCTCAGGACTCACGCGGGTCTGTCTTCCAGGATGAGTGCAGTGGTAGAAAGTGGCTCAAAATCAAGGTTCTTCCTCACGTTCTGCTTTGGGGAGGGCGGCCTGCTAGGTCGTCCAGCCTTGTCTTCACATTCCTACAACAAAGACACCAGGGTTACCTCCAGGCCTGGCCAACTCTGACACGAGGAAGCCCTTCTGAAAGAACGGTTTTTGCTATGCAGTCCTTTAGGTTGATTTTCAGGAAAATATTTCTTGCTACTCAGAAGGAAAAACTTTCAAGGGAAGTTTTTCAGCTCTGCACTGCCAGCCATCACTGTATGACAGGAGGACAGTGGGCTCCCCATAGTGGTGGGAAAGTCACCAAGGATCTCATCACCCCAGCTGCCCCTTTCTGAAGGCCCACAAACATCGTCTCAGGTCTCCTCTGCTTCTCCTGTAAATTTTATCTGGTTATTACAGTGACCCCTGGGAATCTCAGAGCCAGACCAAGGGCCAGTTCTAGCATTCACCTGACCCTAGGCCTCATCTCATATACACACTCCCATCCTAAACTTTTAACCCACTTCCTTTTACCCCATGGCACTTGCTGTATATTTATTAGCCCTTTAAATCTTTTCTGAAATGAGGAACGGGTTAAAATCTTTTGCATAAATAGAGCTGTTTCATTTTCTTAAACCAGAAACATCAAAAGAAGAAATTTTTAAACTCTCTGTATGAAGCCATCACTGCGAGTTGTTACATAAATGACTATGCCGTGCCCTGGAAACCTGAGAGCAGCCCCCATACTGCTGGGTCACGAAAGCTCAGTTGCACCTGGTGACCCACATTCCACACACCCAACCAGAAGAGTTCAGGAGACCAAGGAAGTTGGCGCCAGAGTCCAGCTTCTGAAAGATTGTGTGTGTGTGTGTGTGTACCCTTAGCCATCTGCAAAAAAACAAAACATCAACAACAAAAACACCACAATATTTTCTTGTTGCCTATTATAAACAAGGCTCTTAGGGCTCTCCCTTAAGACAATCTAGCTGGAAAGACATGAGGAGTTAACCTAAGACTGAAACAACCATTCCGGATAAAAACAGAAGTAGTATCATGAGTGAAAAATGATTAATTGCTAAATGAATTTTATTGACACCAGCTGCCAAGAGCGGTGCTACTGGCAAAATCATGTGGCAAGCAATTATTCTCAGCCAGAAAACCTACAGAGGCTTCTGAAAGTGGAACGGGAAAATGACCTCCCCCAAGTACGCAGGCTACGTGAGGGAGGGCGCCACGAAGCAGGTGGGCGGGGCAGTTTCTGTACATCTGGATGTACAAGTTTGCACATGTTAACGCTGCTTACCCTTACTTACAGTGGTTCCATTAAAATACTAAAATTACCTCCACTTACCAAAACCTGAGACAACAGATGCCCTCTGCCACCAAGTCAAACACCCGAGCACCCAAGTGTGCCAGGCACTCCGTTGCAACGTAGCAGGGTCAGCGTTCGGGAAGCTTCAAACCTAGTGCCCGGGTGTCACAATCCTGACTTCATAGGAAACCCACCAGAAGCTGTGTCGCATTTTAAAAAGAATTAGTAATGAATTCCCTATAAGGTGCTACTTATCGGCTGGCCCTGGTCTAGGAACTATATGCCAAGCCCAAAGATATTAGCCCCAAAGTGTGACGTCTCAGAATCTGGACTCCCATTTCCATTTGCTCGTGTGCTTTATACCCATTGTCTCACTTTATGTCCATAACGAGTTCTAGGGTAAGTATAAGCCCATTTTACAGATATGGTAGCTGACCTGTCCTCAAGGACACAGCAAGAGGGGGGTAGGACCTGCAGAACCGAGGACAGGGGAGAGGCTCACGAGGCTGTTAGCACAGCCCCTGGCTCAGAGAAATGCTGCCCTAGTTGTTGGGTGCCACGACCCTTCTTCCTCTCGACCTGACAACTTACTGCATGAAGCAGAAAAGATGCTCTAGGGCCAGGCGCCAATCAAGGAGCCCTGCAAAGTCTGCAAACAGCATGCACAGGAAAAGGAGAAATAAAGTGAGTTCAAGGCCTTGATTCATGACCAACACAATCAGGTCTCTTGGGTTAGAGCTCAGAAGCTCTATTACTAACAAGCAGCAGCAAAGGCAGTTGAGGTTAAAGAGCAGACACTTTTCAAGGGCTGTACACGCACTAAGTTAGCTCAATTTCCCATTCCCTTCACATCAGCCCTTGGAGGGAGGAGCTGCCATCATCTCCACGTCACAGATGGGAAGGTAGGGGCCCAGAGAGCTGGGATCAGCAGCCAAGTGTTCTGGCTCTGAAGCCACATTTTTCAGCGATGGCCACTCTCCAGAATCCACTCACAGACAGGACCCAGGGTAATCCAATCATTCACACTCGGTCTAAAGGAGCTCTTCAATTATGACAAACCTGCAAATACCGAATTCAATGCACATGCAGGACAAACACGTTTTAATCACATAGAGCATTACATGATTAAACAAACAAACAAACAAAAACCCCCAGGAGGCCTGGCCTGCCTGCCCACGCCTGAAATCCCAGGGAGAGCCTTTTCAGAATTCCAAGCAGCATTTCAGAATACGAATGGCACTGGAAGTTGCTGTGTGTCCTGCTCCAAACCCAGCTCTCCCCAGAGCTACCTAGAGGCCAACAGTGAGCTCACTTTCCAAACCAGACAACCAACTTCAGAAAGGAGAAAGAGGACTGTTCACTCTAAGGCTCCTTGGGGGTTGGGGGTGGAGAGGACCAGATAAGTCTCTGGAAAAACAACTTTCAGCTGTGGGTTATCAGCATTGGGATGTGGCAAGAGCTAGCTAGGGCTTTGGAGGCCAAAGGACTTGGCCCTAAGTCCTGGCTCTGACCTTAGGCAAATCATCTTGCTTCTGTCTCAGCATCAGTTTCCTCATCTATAAAATGGAAGCAACTGTAAGGACTCCTGTGATGATGAGGTGACACTTCACATGGTTGCCCACTAAAGTGTGAGCCCTTTCCGTGTGCAGGGTAAATGTCACGGCAGTCGAAGCCCCAGCCCAACTTATCCTTCCAAAGTTTCTTCTCTTCTTGGGACCCTTCTGGGATCAAGTTTTGAAGCCTCTAGGTCTAAAGCAGTGACAATGTCCTCCATTTTTGTGCTCATCAGTATAAATTGACCATTCAAGCGACTGCAACGGATCCCAACATCCTGCTACAGAAGGAATTTAGAACAGGGTTCTTCGAAGTTCTAGTGGCTAATAAACTTCAGTGGTCATGCCAGAGTGTTTTTTTTAAATCAAACAATGAAAAGCATCGGAGTGCATATAGTAAGGCCAGTTTGTTCCAGTTATAAACCCAGTTTTATCTGTACGCTGAGTCTCAAATTGTCTAACAGGGTTGGGGGGAGTGTCGTGTCAGAAAAGTTTGAAAGCCACTAATTTAGAAGCATAGTAGGCTAAGTCCCTGCCCTGAGTGGCTCATCATGTATCCTACTGGGAAAACAAGACCAGCACCAATGAGACAGCAGCAAACAAAACTCGCTGCACCTGACGAGGGGCTAGGTTGTAGGGTGGGGTGTGGTCTGATGACCCAGCACAGGGTCCAGAAAGGCAGTAAGCAAGGGCAAATGAGCAGGACCTCAGCTCCACACTGGGGCCATGTGCAAAGCAGACTTAGCAGGCATGGGGAGAGGAAAAGGGCCTCATTTGTGAGGGGACCAAAGGGGGCGCAGCCCTTTGGGAGACGGCAAGAACCCAGCCTTCAAGGGCTCACTCTAGCAGGGGAAGGTAAGATGCCAGCAGAGGCTAGAAAGCCAAGACAGATCGTGAAAACTGCTATGAGAGTAAGCCACGTGCACCCAAGTGCTGCAGGAGCCCCGAGGACAGGGTGCCTATGGCTGGGGACAGAGCAAAGCCTCCCATAAAGGGTGCCATCTGAGTGGATGAAGGACAGGGGAGATCTGAGCCACGAAGGAGAGGAGTAAGCACAGGAACGGGCTAATTCAGGGTGAGCACATGCGCTGTGAAAGACGACCGATGTTGAGTGAAAACTGTTTGGCTCTGGATTTCATGATCTCAACAAGCGACCCAGAGCTGGCAGACAAGGAGAGTGGGGAGAGAGCTGGACTTACTACAGAGCCAGAGTAAACTGAGGTGCAGTGAGACTGTTAACTGCATCCCATGGCAGGGCCTACAGCACGTGGATGATCTGAGCAGTGCTAACAGCAAGGACAAGGGCACTAGACTCCTGAATTAAGTGTATAATTTGCCAGTTATAAGAGAAAAAAGGTCAAGTTCTCAAACGATGTAAAGAACTATTTCTGGAAGGGCGACAAGAGGGGCAGTCCATGCTACTTACAGGCTGTGGTGCTGAAAGATGGCCCATCACTTTAACAACCTGGCCAAGAGAAGCCCCCGGCTTCTGGGAGAGCTCCCCTTGCTGGAAGAGAAAGGGCCTTTGACTCAACTGTGTACAGTATCAGGATTAGCCTTTTACGATAACTACTGAGGGTTCTGGAGGAATTCTGGAATAAAGAGTGGCAGGTCACACGCGGTACTTATTAAAAGACAGACGTGAACCACATCAGTGACAGCACAGTACCACCTCTGCACAGGCTGAGGACCCAGGCAGCCTGCAGGGGAAGCATGGGGGTGGGTGGGGGGTGGCAGCAGGCCTGGGTCTGAACCATCAACTCCCATCCCAGGGGATCAGTGCCACCAGCAGCCTGACCTTGAGCACATTCCTTCGCCCTCCCAAGCCTGTTTCCTCATTTATTAAGTGATATTAAATGAGAATGAATTAACAGCCACAGCAGGTACCCAGACAATGACAGGGATCATTACTGTCATTGCATTACTACAAAATTATTTTTCACAGTATTTCCCATTAAGGGTACTTAATAGGGTTGCGGTGAAGACTCAGGGTGAAGTCCCGGAACAGTGCAGCTGGTCTCACACTCTGACATTTGTAACAAGCAATTTGGGGGAGGGAGGGGCACTGTTTTAGAATATGACAGGAGACCTGTTTTGTTTTGCCGGTTTTGGTGGGGAAGAGTGGCCTCCGAAGGTCTTACAAACGCTTGGCTTTCCACAGTCCTGTTGACCACCGAGGCTTGATCTCACACTAAGGACCCCTCAGAGCCCTAGGGGCTCCTCATACTTC